TTAAACAAAATTCTCATAAATGAAATTGAAAAATTTATAAAAATGATAATACATCATGACCAAATGGGGTTTATACTAGAAATCTAAGGCTGATTTAACTTAAAAAAAATCAATTTGGTAATTTACCAAATCAACATAGTAAAAAAAAATATGATCATCTCTATGGATGTAGAAAAAGTATTTGACAAAATGCGATATTCATTCTTGAGAAAAAGTCTCTATCATCTAGGAAAGAAGTCAGTTTCCTAAAGCTAGTAAAGGGTATCTGTAAAAAACAAACACAAAAACTGTAGCTACATCATGCCAGTAAGTGAACTGAACTCTTTTCTCCTAAGATCAGGGCAAGACAAGGATGTCTACGGTTACCAGGTCTGTTTGATATTGTATTAGAGGTTCTAGTCAGTGCAATCAAACAAGCCAAAGAGACAAAAGGCATCCAGATTTCAACTGAATAAATAAATAGGTCTTTATCTGCAGGTGACATAACATCTATGAAGAAGATCCAGTGGAATCTACAAAATAGCTTCTAGAAGTAATAAATGTAGCTAGTTTACAGGCGACAACGCCAACACACAAGAATCAATTACATTTATATTTACCATCAACAAACAAATGGAAATCAAAATTTTAAAACTTTATTATTTTTAAAACACCAAACTATGAAATACATAAAGATTAAATCTGATGAAAGATCTAGTACCTAGAGAAAACTATGACATTGCTGAAAGACAAATTTATAGAGATATATACATCTTGTTCATGTTTCAGAAGACTCAGTGTTGTAAGGATATGAATCCTCTCCAATAAAAATCCCAACTGATTTTTGTTTTAGAACTTGTTTAACTGATTTGAAAGTTCATATGGAAATGTAGGGGACCTAGACTACCCAAAATAACTTGAAAAAGAAGAAGAAAGCTGGAAAGCTAACAGTACCTGATTTCAAGACTCAGAGCTACAGTAATCAAAACTAACACACAGTCTGAATATTTTTAAAATATAAATAAAAGGAACAAAACAGAGAGCTCAGAAATAGACCAACACATATATGGATGGCCACTTTTTTTTTTTTTTTGGACACATAGTTTCAATCTTAACCCCCAGGCTGGAATGCAGTGGCATGATCTCAGCTCACTGCAACCTCTGCCTCCCAGGTTCAAGCGATTTTCCTGCCTCACAGCTTCCTGAGTAGCTGGGATTATAGGAGTGCACCACTGCACCCAGCTAATTTTTGTATTTTTAGTAGAGATGGGTTTCACCATGTTGGCCAGGCTGATCTTGAAGTCCTGAGCGCAAATGATCCGCCCACCTCAGCCTCCCAAAGTGCTAGGATTACAGGCGTGAGCCACCACTCCTGGCCAGATGACCAATTTTTAACAAACATGTTAAGGCAATTCAGTAGAATTGGAGTCTTTTCAAGAAATAGTATAATACAGAACAATGGAATATGCCAGAAAAACCCTACTTTGATGCATACTTATTCACACTATATTAACTAGATTGAATCACAGATTTTAATGTTCATAGTAGTTTTATGTGTGAAAACAACATGAATTTCCATTAATGGAAAAAGAATAAACAAATTGTATATGTTGATACAATGTAATTCTAGTTAGTGATAAAAATGAATCGAGGCCGGGCGCGGTGGCTCAAGCCTATAATCCCAGCACTTTGGGAGGCCGAGGCGGGTGGATCACGAGGTCAAGAGAACGAGACCATCCTGGTCAACATGGTGAAACCCCATCTCTACTAAAAATACAAAAAATTAGCTGGGCATGGTGGTGCACGCCTGTAATCCCAGCTACTCAGGAGGCTGAGGCAGGAGAATTGCCTGAACCCAGGAGGCGGAGGTTGCAGTGAGCCGAGATCGCGCCATTGCACTCCAGCCTGGGTAACAAGAGCAAAACTCCGTCTCAAAAAAAAAAAAAAAAAAAGAATCGATAATTAATATATGTAACATTAAAGAATCTTAAAATAGCTATGCTGACTGAAATAAGCCACATCAAAAAAAAATGTCTTATTCCATTTACATAAAACTATGGAAAGTAAAAACTAACCTATAGTGACAAGAAAGATTGGTTACTTAAGGACTAGGAGAAGCAGGAGGGGAGAAGGATGGATTATAAAAGGGCTCAAGAAACTTGCAGGCAGTGGATACATACGTTCAGTATCTTGATTGTGGTGATCGTTTCATGCGTGTATGGATATGCCAAAATGTATCAAATGTCACACTTTAAATATGTGCAATTTCTGGTATATCAGTTACATCTCAACTTAAAAAATAAATTTAAAAAAGAAAAAACTTAAATCTTTATTTCTCATATGTTTCCTAAATCAATATGCCATTGAAACATTTGCTAACAAATCAACCTTTCCGTTGTCTATTTTAAATTATACAATGAGTCATTTATGAACTGGCAAATTATAATGTATCTTTATTCTGTATATAATGATTATTATGAATGATAGTAAAATGAACTTCATAACAGAGTCTCAACATAGACATATTTGAAAATGATTTTTAAAAAATAGATTACACAAAAACGGCAACTTTAAAAAATTCCTAAGGAGAGGTATTGAGAGACTGTATATTACCATAAAAAGGAAAAGTCAAAGGCCACATGCACACGAAGGTTCACTGCAGCACTGTTTACAATAGCAAAGACCTGGAACCAACCCAAATGCCCAGAGATGATAGACTGGACCGGGAAACTGTGGCACATATACACCATGGAATACTACGCAGCCATAAAAAACGATGAGTTCATGTCCTTTGTAGGGACATGGATGAACCTGGAAACCATCATTCTCAGCAAACTGACACAAGAACAGAAAATCAAACACTGCATGTTCTCACTCGTAGGTGGGTGTTGAACAATGAGAACACATGGACACAGGGAGGGGAGCATCACACACTGAGGTGTGTTGGGAGGAACTAGGGGAGGGACAGTGGGGGGTAGGGAGTTGGGGAGAGATAGCATGGGGAGAAATGCCAGATATAAGTGAGAGGGAGGAAGGCAGCAACCCACATTGCCATGTATGTACGTACCTATGCAACAATCCTGTATGTTCGTCACATGTACCCCAAAACCTAAAATGCAATAAAAAAAAAAATATATATATATATATATATACATATATATATAAAGAAAAGTCAAAAAGCTACGAGAATGTGGATCTAGATTATTGAAGAGGTCTTGAGAGGTATGAAGGGACTTGCTCCAAGAGACATATGTCCCAGTCCCCTCATGGAGTAAGGATCAAAGGAATCATAAATGCGAATGACCTGATCAGCTGTGCTGAGCTGACCTGTTTTCTCATCTGTCTGGTACAGGCAATGGAGCTAGGTGAAAGTACAGGTTATTTTACAGGTAAAACAGCGGAGGCCATAGGATAGGCAGCCTTTTGTCGTTTTAGGAGTTGGTTTTCACTGTCCCCTATTGCTGCTGTAACAAATTACCACACACTCAGTGGTTCAAACAACACAAAGGTATTGTCTTACACTTATGGAGGTTAAAAGTCTTAAATGGGTTGCGGGGCTGCATTCCTCCTGGAGGCTTTCAGGGAAAATCCTCTCCTGGTCTTTTCCGCCTCTTAGATAGAGGCTGCCTGCATGCCTTGGCTGCTGGCCTGTGTCATTCCAGCCTCTGCTTCCATCCTCATTCTCCTTCTCTCACTCTGACCCTCCTGCCTCTCTTTCACAAGGATCCACCAGGATAATCCAGGTTAATCTCTCCATCTCAAGATCCTTAATCACGTCTGCAAAGACTCCTCGGCCATATTAGGCAACACACACACACACACACACACACACACACACACGTTCTGAGGATTAGACCTGGGCATCCTGTGTGTGTGGGAGTGGGGTGGAGGGACTATTCTGCTCATCATACCCTCTATTTGGACCCTTTGATATGACCTCCATATTCATGTTTTTTCTGTTCTTTTACTACTACCCCCAAGAAGCCTATATTTTCCCCCTAGTTCCAGGACAAATTAGCCCTAAGCTTTCCATTTATCTGTTCTTGTCTACCTTTTCTTCTGAGTTAAATTTTTTTTCTTTCTTTTCTTTCTTTCTTCCTTCTCTTTCTTTCTCTCTTTCTTCTTTCTCTGTTCCTCTTGTTTCTGCTGTTAAAATACCTGTTTTGTTTTTGTTTTTGTTTTTTTGAGATGGAGTCTCGCTCTATCACCCAGGCTGGAGTGTAGTGGTACAATATCAGCTCACTGCAGCCTCTGCCTCCCCAGCTCAAGTGAGTCTCCTGCCTCAGCCTCCTGAGTATCTGGGATTACAAGAAGGCGCCACCATGCCCATCTAATTTTTATATTTTAGTAGAGATGGGTTTTTGCCATGTTGGCCAGGCTGGTTTCGCTTTGGCCTCCCAAAGTTCTGGGATTACAGGTGTGAGCCACCTGGCCCGGCCACAAAGTAATGCTACAGATTTATTTAATTAACAGTTCATGAGAGCTACTACAGGCAGCAGGCTTGCTATGAGGATACTGTGAACAGATGCTGCCCATGCCCCAATGAGGTTCAGCTGGGAGAGGCAGAAGGCTCCCCGTGAGAGGAGTGTTTCTAAGAAGTACAGTGTGTAAGGGGAGTGAGTGTCAGCTCCTGGTCTACACTGAGGGCCTCCCTGAGGAAGTGACATTTGTCAAAACCTGGAATCATATGGGTGGAGCTTTGGAGCTCTTTTTCAGGTTAGCATTGATCTCTTTCTGCCTGGTTCTGTTGAGGAGTTTCCTGGTGCAGAGGAGGCAGGAAGTCTCCAGGGACCACCTGGTGAAGTTGAGCAGGAGGGCCCTGGGGTTGCTAACAGGCTTGATTAGACCTGGCCCGAGGACGCCGGGAGCCCATGGAGCACAGGGCTCCAGACCCGGGCATTTCTGCACTCTTTCTACCAGGCCATAGGCTGTGCTTCCTCCAGGAGCGAGAGGCCGTTTTCTCTTTTGCCCACTGGGTGGAGTATTTTAGCCAAAGAAGGGGACTTGGGCAGCCGGGACTTCGCCGGCGATCTTCGCCTCGGAGAAGGTGGACTCTTCCGGAGCCACGGCCACCAGACCCTCCCTCCGCGAACGGTCCCCGAACTTCGCACACCTGCGGCTCGGGTTCAGGCCCGTCCAGGTAAAAGGAAATATTGTAACAGATTTTAACATTTTAGAGCCAGAAAGGGGACTTAGGAGCTTGGTGACTGTCCCTCTTTCGCAGATTGGAAACGCGAGGCCCCCGCCTGAGGGCTCCTGACCTGGCGGGGTGCGGGGAACCAGGGGGCGGTTCTTTCGCTCTCCAGGCGCCCAGATGGAGCCCTGCAGACCTTCGAAGGCAGGCGTGAGCCCGCACGTTTCTCTTTGTAGGTGAAATGGTCTGAGAGAAAATCGTTCTGCCACCTGTCAAGAATAAACAAGCCGGGCGCGGTGGCTCAAGCCTGTAATCCCAGCACTTTGGGAGGCCGAGGCGGGTGGATCACGAGGTCAAGAGATCGAGACCATCCTGGTCAACATGGTGAAACCCCGTCTCTACTAAAAATACCAAAAATTAGCTGGGCATGGTGGCGCGTGCCTGTAATCCCAGCTACTCGGGAGGCTGAGGCAGGAGAGTTGCCTGAACCCAGGAGGCGGAGGTTGCGGTGAGCCGAGATCGCGCCATTGCACTCCAGCCTGGGTAACAAGAGCGAAACTCCGTCTCAAAAAAAAAAAAAAAGAATAAACAAATGAAATGAGCTAGGTTAGATGAAGGAACTCTAGGCGGCGGCCACTCACAGTGAAGGGCTGGGAAAGGGGCCTACGCCGCGTACTGTGACAACACTGAACATTTATTTGTATTCATTTGTGTATTTTGTTCTACCCCTTCTTGTTTGAAACAAAACGAAAAGTACCTACTAATGGCACATAAAAATACACCCATTTCAGCACGACCACAGACATTAGGAGCGCATGACACATTGGCTCTGGGCTGCAGCTAAAACCGGAAAAAACAGCTGCTTTGCAGGATGTAAGACTGACTCAGAAATGTGTGAAGCATTCCTTGTTTAAAAAATAAATGAGTTAAAATTGGTGAGCAGTGAGGCAGAGGAAAAACAAAAATAGGAAAATGAAAGGCAGGCAGAAAATAAGCCTGGTACATTAAATGTAAACTATGAAAACCGACCTCTTTCTGAGAGGGAAGCGTGAGTGTAGACCTCCCATCTCCCGTGCATGCTCGGGGGAAACCTGATCGCCACAGCCTATGTCAGTGGTCGCGTGTCCTGTGTCCTCAGGGCTGAGCTGCCCGGCCCAAATGAGTCTGTGATCTTGGGGCAGGAACTTCACACAGCGCAGGCTTTGCTTTTCGTAGTAAACCAGACTTGAAGGCTAAACTAAATTTTAAGAAAATTATTTCCTTTTCTTACAGTTTTGTCAATTGTAAGTCAGAATGAAACTCAAAGACTCTGACTCTAAATATATCCCGATTTTTCAGTAACAGTTAAAAAAACCTACTTAGATATTGAGGAAAGTGGAGCAAATTCTAAATAAAGGTAACCCAGTAAGATGCAGACAACTGGGAACAGTTTTGGGAAGCTGACCTCAAAAACACGAGACACACGCTGTCTCACTCAGAAATCTTTTCCCCCTTGCATTTCCCGAAGAAAGCAGAGATCTCCCATGCTTGCCATTGACTTGGAAAGCTAAGTGCACTTAGAATGGATATTCTCCGCTCCATCTTTTGAAAACATAGAGACTATATCATTAGAAAGAACAGAATGCTGTCAAGGGTTTTTGCGATGGGTTCTTCAAGGCCCCAACCTCCTGCACATGAAGTGTAACATCAGTCTGACTGTCGGTGTAAGGCCCCCTGACTGCAGGGGAGCCTCACTTTACTCAGAGAGGCCACGGGCCTTCTCTTTTTCTTCTAGCCCCATGAAAGCTGTGCGTGACAGAGTACTCTGTCTTTCCAAAGCTGATTTAAACCAAAGCAAAACAAAAACTTGATCAGAACCATGAGTGCCATAGATGCCTTTGAAGAGTGGAGAGACACAACTGGACACGGTTGGACTGGAAGAGATGGTCAAGAAGCTACTTAAGCAAAGGGGTGTCTGCAAGGGAATTGCCCAGTCAGAAGCAAAGCAACCGGGAGCAGCAGCTTTGAGGCAGGGTGAATTCTTGCTCCAGCGGTTAGAAATGTGGCAAACTTAGATAAGTTGTGCATCTCTCTGAACCTGTTAGCTCAACTGCAGGATGAGCCTGATCACTTCTGCCCCAATTGCCTACTGGATTCAAGGAAGAAATGGACAAGAAATGGTTCACAAACCATTCATGTTAGAAGCAGAAAAATGTCCATTATCTAACTAATGTTCCACCAGCTCCAGTGAGAAGTAAGTAGACTAGCTGCCGCTTTTGAGCACCTACGTTGTGCCACGCTCTTCCATCTATGTGTTTTAAACGTTATGGTTATATTCAGCCCCACTTTACATAGAGAGGAACTGAGATCAGAGAGGGCAAGTGACCCTCCAGAGTTCATCAGCTGTTGAAAGACAGAGGAGGATTTGAACTCTGAAGCTTGTTTCACTTTATTTGAATGAGGACAGATTCTTCTGGTGTCAGCTGGGTTCAGCAGGATGCCCCTGAACCCCTCACCCAGCGGCTGGCAGAGGATTTCTAAGAAGAGAGGATGGAAGGCATAAAAGATAGGAGTAGAACATGAATAGGTCTACCTCGGGGCTCTGTTTTGTTCCATGTTGCAGTGAAGGGCAGGGGATGAGCAACCGCCTGAGAGGACAGGCTGAGTTCCCTCCCTGGTGTGACTTAACGATTCAGTAATGCGTGAGTGTTCCAAGTCTCCATTTGCCTATTGGGGCCATAGCCCCTTATCTCTCTCCCTCTCAAGTTTTTCCCTCTTTGGCCTTTCTAGCCTCTTTATTTCATGCGTGCACATTCTTGTCTTTTTCTTCTGCCTCTTCCCTCTTTACCACTCTGACAGACTGTATCAGCGAGTCCCTCTACGGTGTCGTATCTAACTTTTTTATTCATTGCATGATTTATTTTTAGCCTGAAACAACTGCATCCTAAAAATGGAGTTCCTAATGAGACAGAGGCTGAGCAGAGCTATGTAAGGTATCTGGGGCTTGGCCTCCCAGCCTCCCTAGCCTGGCTCTTTTTCTACTCTCGCGCGTGCGTGCGTGCGTGTGTGTGTGTGTGGTGTGTGTGTGTATATGTGTGTGTCTGCTCTTTGTCCTGAGCCCACGATTCCAGAGCTGGCTGGACCCAAGGAGGTGAAGAGTCACTTCTCGGCCCCAGGAAGGGCAAAGAAGAGATACGAAATCAGTCTGTCTGCTCCCTGCTTGTCTCAACAAGGCCTCTAGCAGTCTTCCGTCCTCTCTCCTGCACACAGCATATTTGGGAACGAGAAACAAAACTTTTCCCAAATGAAGAGAACTCACTTGTTTATTGTGGGGGTTTATTTGCTGTCCTCTTGCAGGGCAGAAGAGGGGCTTAATTTCCCCACATATGATGGGAAGGACCGAGTGGTAAGTCTCTCCGAGAAGAACTTTAAGCAGGTTTTAAAGAAATATGATTTGCTCTGCCTCTACTACCATGAGCCGGTGTCTTCAGATAAGGTGGCGCAGAAACAGTTTCAACTGAAGGAAATCGTGCTTGAGGTGAGTAACCAAAGGGCATGCCGTCCGCGCTGCCCCACTGGGGATGGGTGCTGAGGGAATGCCTTTGGCCAGTGGTCGGGATGTGGGAATGAGAGTGCAGAGAATATAGACTGAAGTCTGCTTCATTTTGGCCTCACATGAATCAGATGCTCTTGTCACAAAGCTGGGATGTGTGAACAATGAGGGGTGGGTCCAAATTCTTCGTATGAAGAGGATCAAAGGCGCTGCGCTACGACGGGTCTGATGTAAAGTCTTTCATTCACATTATGGTCCCCTTGACTTTTCAAGGGCCCTTGTCCCAGCTAGTGTTTCCCAGATAGAATGTAGAAACTGTTGTTAAAACTGTCAGGCTGAAATGAAATCCAGGGACTACTTGTGGATTTCACTCAGCGTGCCCACTCTGCTCCCTCGAATCTCCCCACGATCCTGGAGAGACCAGAGTTACCTGACCGTGCCCCTCTCCGTGGGTCAGATGGAGAATATCACTCCATGACTTTCCTCTCTCATGATTTGCTGTCAGTCAGCATTACAGAACGTAGTTATGTGCAGATCTTCCGAGCGGCGTATTCATTTCTATGATTTGTTTTTCTCAGAAAGTTCTTGGTGGGACTTTAGGGCAGAGCTGAAGTCACTGCTTATTTTATCTGTATTACATGGCCTGCCTGTTTGCAGCCTGGCACTGAGGCCCATTTTCTAATCATTTGTGAGTGCTCCAGAAACTATTTCTGCAGCTCCTCCTGGACAGCTTAAGATGGCTTACACTTTAAGGGTGACTGAGAGTGCCAAGAATGCTAGTGGGCATTCTTGATGCCTCATCAGCCCCCATGCCTAGCCCAGGTGCAATCCTGTGAAAGGGATGTTTGAGCATTACAGTGTATTATCCAGCACAATCAGAGAACTCAGGCTGATGAAATAGTTTGATTAACAGAATTATCATATAAAACCAGGTGGATTTGATTAAAAAAATAGACTGTAATAAAATCCAGCAAAACTATTCCAAATACATAAAAAATACATCTCCAACCTCGAGTGCTGAATATGGAAGTTCAGTTCTCTCTGTGGGTTGCAAGAAAAGAGAAAGCAGGGATAGTTATTAAGCCTTTATACTATAGAAGAGAGCACATCGCAGGCTGGGAAAGAGCAGGACACAGAACCTGGCTGGTGCTTAGCCCACGACAGCAACACTTACATTATATCTCCATCTCCAACTGCCAAACTCAGTCATTGAGAGACGTGGTTATGAAGTGTAGCTGAAGCACAAGGGTTCTCCCCTATATGCTCATCACTGTCCAGTTAGCCTAGAACCTAAAAGAATGCCTGTGGGTGGCCAGCACAGGCAAGGACATTCATTTCTGATTCTAATTTTTTTTTAAAGAAATCTCTTTGTATCCTCTCTCTCTCTCTCTCTCTCTCTCTCTCTCTCTCTCTCTCCCCCCACCCCCCACCCCAGGTATGTCTGTCCCCAAAGACTATGCAAAATCATGAGCAGGAACTTCCCCTGGGCTTACCATCCCTCCAGACACCTTTGATCCAAGAGTGCCCTTTTCACACGTGGGTGGGTGCTGGGCCCAGCAGAGACTGTCGGGGTAAATTCACCACAGGAGTTAATTTGATGCCCCTCAGGCTGAAGCTGGAGTGAGGCATCATTAGGAAAAAAAGAGGACAGAACATGAAGTCAGGATATCTGGATTTAAATTCTGACTTTGTCTCTACTAGGCACAGGACGCAGGGCAAATTATGTAATTTCTCAGAGCCTCATTTCTTTATCTATAAATATGGAAAAATAACTATCATGCAGGCTTAAGAAATCATTAAATGATAATAATGTTTATTAAATGCTTACTAAGTGCAGGATTGGTCTAAGCACTTGGTATTAGCTTGTTTAATCCTTTCGATAACTCTGTGAAGTAGGTGCAGTTACCAATCGCATTTTATAGATGGGGAAACTGAAGCAGAGCGGCTAAGTTGTTCAAGGTCACACAGCTACTGCAGGTGAAGGCTGTTGTACTTAATACCTCCGCTGCACTGCTCCTGAAATCAGTGGGAAAATGCCCAAGGGGCTTCTGGGTAGCCTGGTTAAGATGATTTCAAGAGTCTTCCTTAAACAGAGTTGCTCAGCCTCTGGGCCCGGGTCTGATGACGCCAGCTGTCCCACCAGCAGGGCCGAGAAGCACATGACCTGGAGGCACTGCTCATGCCAAAGCCCAAACTGAGGAGGAAGTCTGGGATCCATTAGTGAAGGTAGGGAAGGGGCAGACCTTTGTTGAGAGATTTGTCCAGTGCAGCATCAAGGAAAAAGATGGGTCCAGGAAGTCCATGAGTAGAAAGAGTGAATATGCCTTTAAACTTTCTTCGTGGTCAAAACAACTATTTTGTTCTCTTAATCCTCTAGACCCCACACTTGCACTAAGAAAAATAGTCTGCTCACTTCCGGGGCTGTGGCTGTTAGAGGGTGGGGGGAAAAAGAGGAGGCAGTTTCTAGTGTACGTCCATCAAGGCAGTGTGGTCTCAGCTATGGGCAAGTGACTGCAAGGGAGGTGGCTCTCTTCCCCCTTGCAGCCTAGGAAGGTGGCTTCCGACACTTTTTATCGTAACCCACTATGACCTAGTATACACAGACACACACACAGATGCACACACACACCAGAAACAAAATTTTTATAAAACAATACTTATTACTTGGGTAATTTAAAAAATATTTTTTCTATTTTTATTCTGCTCTCTTCTATTTCACTTGAAAAACTGATTCAACCTATGAAGTTGATTTTGCTCGCCACTGAGGAGTTGCCATCCCCAGGTTGAAACACCTGAAGAATTTCTAGAAATTAGAAACTCACAGCTCCTCACACTAAGGCCACCCCATTCTAAGAAACTCCAAGGACACTGTAGTCAGTCACGTGTATTTTGTCTGCATCTCTAAGGGATGTCAATGAAAAGAGCCTGAAACAGCTTCATCCACAGAGCGAGGTCATTGCCTGATGAGGGGCACCTGAAATGCCATTCAATTAGTCATGCATCTGCTACTTACTTTATGCGGGCCCTGGGGTAGATGCTGTGGATACAGGAAAACGAGACCCTCAAGAGGCACACAGCTGAACACAGAAGATGTGCGAACAAGAAGCTACAGTGCAGGGAGGTTGCCATAACAACAGAACAACTTATAAGTTTCTCAGGGAGAGTAGAGGAAAGAGGAAGAGCCAGAACTGGTTTGTGAAATGCATAGGAATTTATTGGCAAAATAGCAAAGATTCACCAGGTATGGTGGCTCACGCCTATAATCCCAGCACTTTGGGAGGCTGAGGTGGGCTGATCACAAGGTCAAGAGATCGAGACCATCCTGGACACCATGGTGAATCCCCTTCTCTACTAATACCACAAAAATTAGCTGGGTGTGGTGGCACATGTCTATAGTCGCAACTACTTGAGAGGCTGAGTTAGGAGAATCTCTTGAACCTGGGAGGTGGAGGATGCAGTAAGCGGAGATCGTGCCACTGCACTCCAGTCTGAACAACAAGAGTGAAACTCAGTCTAAAAAAAAAAAAAAGATTCTGATGGCTCTCAAGTATTTTTCCACCTGGTAGCTTTTTTCTAAAATTTGGCAAAGAGAGCCTCATTTCTTTAGGGTAAGATTTTTGTCCCTACTTAGTCAAGTTCCTGTGGGAGAGGTTGGCCTTTGAGATGTTGCCAACTGCTCACATCCCCTGAGTCTGAATTCTGTCTTGAGAACAGGGCTTGAGGAGGGGAAGAGGAGAAGGGGGAGAAGATGAGGTCTGTAAAGCTTAGCAGGAAAAAGGCAAGCAATAGGACACAGGAGGCACCAGACTCAAACTGTGCTTTCCAATCTGGCCAGAGTCCAGCTCTGGAGGGCCCAAGGGTCAGTGCATGGTCCATAGTTCCATGCAGATACTCTACACATACTTGTTCATGAGAGTCATCTGGGCTGATCTGAACTCCTCATTTGATAGCTCTAATCCTGACTTAAACAGCTGGTAATTCTGATTCCTGGTTGGGTATTCTTCATCAACAAATTAGCATATACTCATTTAGACATTTCAGAGTATGTGAAAAAGAATGAAAAGGCAATAAAAATAACCACATCAAAATAAGCATAGATAATGTTTTGGTAGATTTCTTTCCAGTATTTTTTCCATACATAAATATACATTTTTTAATTGAGAATTATGCCATTTATACAATTTCATTTCCAACTTGTTTTACTTCCATATATTGTATTTCTGTATTAATCAGCAACGTTGATACCAGCATAGTATTCCACTCTATTATTATACATATTTTCAAAATAATTTCCCTATGTTTGCATCCTGACACAACTTTTACAGTTTTAAAAGTCTTTATCTATCTTTTCATTGTTGTTTTAATGAACATTTCTTTGATTTCTGGTTGAAGTCTTCCATAAAATTATTTTGCCATTTATATATTTTTTTCTTCCATAAATTATTTTTCTATGCCTTTTCTCATTTTTCTCTGGGGGTGTCAACACGAATTAGAAAGGGAGTTGCGATTTTGCATGCTGTCTCTCGAAGCTTCCTTCCGCCAAAATAGTAAATTTAGTCACACCACAGCGGCCAACTTCCATTAGCATTGCAGGACTCAGAGAGAGGATGTGGGCAGGGAATTCAGTTTCTCCTTGCTGCTTTGCTTCCTGCTTCCTCTTTCCCCTTGAAACTGCTGTGCAAGCTACTGCTCCTATCATATCCTAAAATATGGCCAGAGAAAGTCCTTCAACATCACCGTTTCCCTGAGGTTGAAGTGCTTGACAGATGGCATGTTCTAACACGGGCTTCCAGATCAGATAGACCTGGGTTCCGTATTTGCAAGGTGGAGATGACAGTGCTGTTGTGAGGATTGAATGAGGCTGCCCAGCAAGAGCACAGCTCTGGCACGCAGAAGATGCTTAACAGATGCTGGCTTCTTTCAGCCCGCATGCTGCATTTTGTCAGGATTCTAAACACAATGCAGCGAACCCCATGTTTACAAAC